GGCTCCCCTCTTCGTACCTCAAAACCAACCGCCTAGGATATTGTTTGTAGAGATCTTCTTACATCTCAGGTTGGTTTTGTGGGTGCTCAGAGTGGTCTGGTAGATATCCAGCCGAATTCCGGGGACCAGTTGAAATAGGGTCCCCTACTCCTCCACCATCTTTCCCTTCTCCCTCTTCCTGATATTTCTTAATGTGGTCCTTAAATTGATTGTTTACCCACAACTGTTGGCTAGTGCATGAAGTTCTAAATCAACATAATTTTGCTGACAGGTATAGTGCTGTTCACATAAAATCAATTGCCCTCTTGCTCAATTCTCTGCTGAAGCCCAAACAACCTAACTTTATGATTTCATTTGCACATTTGCCTCCCTGTCGAGGATGCCTTCTCTTTCTCTATTTGCCTGTTCTCTTCCTTTGACTTTGTTTTCCCTACTGCTTGTGTGTGCTACTTGTTTGCATCACTCATTTGACAGTTAGCTTTGGTAGTGCTGTTTTCATCAAATTTATGTGTAGAAATTCCTTCCAGATTAGATTTGCAACAAAAATTGCAGAAGTTACAGCTGTATACACCCACTCACACATACCCACACATGCACGTATATATTTAAAAATGAGAGAATGGTGTGCTGGAATTTCTAGCTAGCACAGCTTACCCATGAAGGTTCTGAAAAATAAGAAGTTGAAAGCATATTCTTAGTGCTTGGGAATGTAATATAAAACCTGTCTTCTTTGTTGCAAAGCTTATACAGTTAAGGGAGTTTTTCCTCGAAAGAACTGGCATAATTGCAAATACGATAAAAAAAAATCTTCAATAGAAATTTATCCTTTTGACAATTCATTTTCATTATTTATATGTCAAATTCTCCCACTTTGCAAGGTTTTTGCTATGATCAATGCCACAAAAATGTGAAAGTTCTTGGAAATAATACACTAATGGTAGATAGATCCTAATTATAGGGTTCTGTTCTGGGCGAGTTACATGCTTGATCTTTAAACCTCACAATGATGCTCACAAGGAAATATTATTGAATTTTTGGTCTTATTTTACAGATAAAAAGATTGAGGCTCAACTGACTCAGTAATTAACTGAGTAATTTTCCCAAAGTCACAAAGCTGGCTGTCCAGAGAATTAAGATCAATCCAACTTAAAAAAAAAAAATCACCCAACTTTATTTTTTTACTACCCCATGGGTAGTGAAAGATTAACAAAGGTTAAATAATAATAACAGCAACAATAATAATAGCAGTGACTAACATTTATTGAAGTATTTCTATGTACCAGGCACTATTCTAAGTGCTTTACAGTATTAATTTATTAAATTCTCACAACCACCTTATAAAATAGGTATCATTATTATCTCTTAGCATTTGAGGAGAATATAATACAGGAAGGGTAAACAAAAATGGTGTTGTCACAAAGCTAAAAGTGACTGATGTGGCATCCGAAGGGGGAGGATTGTGTTCATTTAGTTTACACTTTTGCTCTCTGACCCTTCTTTTAAGCTGAGTTTTGGCATATTTAATTTTCCTTTTTCCTAACTCTTCTTCATTTGAAATGTAATGCCATTGTAAAGGCCAACCAGTAATGAATGAAAATAAAGAGAGTTGCAAGGAGAAAACCGACGGTTGGCGACCTGTGTGTTTCCTGCCGATCTTACTGATACAGGAGTGTTGTGTCACAGTGTGTGTAGAAACCTCAGAATCTTTAAGTTATCATAGCAAGATAGTATATTGTGTGATCCACTCCTAACATAACACATGTACTGGAGGAGTTGCACAGGTTTTTGTAATTGAGTGAACAACATGAATTGCTTATGTTGAATGACCACATGCGTTTCTCTGTCCCTGCGAGCACATTGAACAAATAAACATGAATCCATGGAAGACTTAGAATCAGTTATCTGTGTTCCCAGTGCTATTAAGTGATTCAAACCGTATCACTGTTACTATTTTTTTGTAAAAAAAAAAAATGGGAAGATATTCTTCCATAGGATTTCTATGGAAATTTCCTGGATTATGCCACAATAGGACCCTTTTAATTCAGAATTTGCATGTTGATGTTGGCTTGCTTAACCTTGATGATTCTAATGCTTTGAAATCAGTATGCCTTTTTTAAGAGATTTCATAGTAAGCTTCGAAGGATAAAGCCCTCTGAATCAAATTCCTCTCATAGAACTTTTGTCAGATCTAACTGCCCTCTGTTCCTAAAAATATGATTACAAAAAATAACACATTTAAATTATGGTTTCTTAATATAAAGATAACTTTTTGATTAAAAACATAGAATTTTAGGTTCGCAAATTATTCATGATTGGCCATAGCTCATTATTAATATATTGCACATTAATATAGGAAGTAAAGACTTTATTAGATACAGATGCTATTCATTCTTGATAAAGATATTTAGGAATAGCTTTTTTTTTTTAAGAAGTAGAAATTAAATTTAAAGATCACCCAATTCAACAGAAAAAAAAACTCCATTGGTTTTTACATGAAGCTTTGCCTAAACCAATTATTAAGACAATTTGAAAATTATTTTTTCCTTTTAATTGAACATACAGAGAGACAATGCATAAACAGATGTTTTGCATTATTTCATGAAGGCACTTTTGGTCTCTTGCATGACCTCCACAAGTTACAGCAAATGTTATAGGAAACATTAAATTACCATTGTATAACCTTTAAAGTTAAATTCAGACAGGAAACTCAGCTGTATGAAGAGCGAAATTTTTTTAGAAAAAGTGTTGTGAAACTCAACTATAAATGTATTTATACTTCAAAATAGTTTATAAGAAATATGTCCCAGTGTTGTCACAGTCTATAAAACACTCTTAACAGAGGAATAGCCTATTTTCATTGTAATTTAGTAGAATTGCATATTGAAGCATATAGTGTATATTGTATTTCAGTGTATATTGTTTCTAATTTATATGTAAATTTTAAATTATTCATTAATAGTATATTTCTTTGTGTATTATACACTATTTCCCCAAAAGTAAAAAAACTTTTTTTGCTTACTTTTCCTGCTGTGCTCATGATTCCGTTTTGTCTTCAGGCCAGGAGACTGGTGAATTCTTACAGACTCTTTTCTGCTCTAGTACAGAAAGTTGATATATTACACAGATTGTTTGCTTGAGTTAACAACCCATTACACACACGTGATCTGAAGTCTTTAAGCCACACCCCTCAGCTTATTCTCCAGCGAAGTCAAATCAGAAAGAAAAGGTCACTGAGCCAGCGTTCAAACCTTGACTTTGTTTGCAATATGCCAATTTCAATTAATATCTTGATTTCATCAGGTTAAGTATTTCCCTACACATAACATTTTAATCTCCCTCTTTTTCCTGGATTCTATATTTCTTATCTCTCAGCCCCACACAGGGTGTTCAGAGTTCTGTTTTCCCGTTGTGTGCACTCATCTCCAACTTCTAATCCACATGTTGCATTCAGAGAAGAGAAGTAAGAAAGCAGCACAAATGATGTAGGACAGAGAGTGTTTCGAGCCAGAGGAACATGTTTGATTTAGCATTCTTTTCACAGCGGAGAAGTCACTGCAGTGCAGACAGCTGTCAGTCTCAGCAGAGGTGCTCACCATCTCTGGCATTTCTGCTCCGTGCGACAGAAATCAGCACTGACTGCACACCTCCCCGGTCCAGGCACTCAGCTGGGCACAGTGGGGGGCAGTGATGGATAAGAGGTGGCCTCTGCCTGTGCCAACAGGGAGTTTGGAGCGGTGGTTATGGCATGGGAGACCCCATTGTTGGATTCAGGCAGACCCTATCCTTACCAGCCGTGTGCACTTAACTGTCTTTGGCTTTAGTTTTCTTATTTATAAAATGAGGATGACTAAGCTCCTCAAGGAGTTGTCTGAGGAAAACTGAGATCATCCTTTTAAAGCGCTTAACAGGGAGCCTGAAATAGGGCAACCTTCGATGAATATTAGCTACTCACTGAGGTTTCAGTGCTGACAACCTTATCACTTTCTTTTTGTTCTCCAAGCACTCTAGGGACTGAATGTTCTTAATGTTCTGTGTGGCTTCAACATGACTTTGGTGCTCTTTCAGCTTTCCAACAATTGTGCAATCAGTGTTCTCTATTAAATCCACTTTGTTTGAAATATAGTTTTCTATTTCCTTAACTGGAAACTGATATAGTTCTTGTCACCAAGAGTGGCCCTGGAAACATATTCTCAAGTAAACAAAAGTATTTACACAGACTGAGTTGATGTCTTTGTAATGGTCACAGTTTGCTGACATAGAAAGCACTGGAATGAGTATGTTTAAGGAGGTTGAGAAGGAAAATATCCGTAATCATCAACAGAAGAGAAGTCAATAGAAGACTGACAGGGCCCAGTTGCTCTTTTCTATTATAGATTGAATGTAGGCCTGATCTGCAATGTTTCGCACACCTCCATGTGCCTTCCAGTAGTTTTCCGGAGCACTTGCAAGGTGTTCAAAATATAGTAGCTTTTGAATCCTTATAAAGTCACTAAAATGTTATGCTCAGCCATATACACCTATTTGCACAAGGCTGTGAAATTTGTTTTAGAATTCTCTTTATTTTGTATTCTATGAGTCCTAGAATATAACCAACTCTTTTGTCTCCATCATTTTTCTAGTTTTTGATTTTTTCATTTTCATTTTTACCAAAATTATACATGCCTATATGTATGCATTTTTCTTTTTTTTTTACAAAGCCTCTTAAGAGAAGCAGCAGTTTTGACTTTCCTAATTCTTCCTACCTTTACTCTTCCCTAGAAGCCACTGCTTTCAACTTTTGAAACTTATTATTTTGTTTTTTATTTCCACATCTCTAAGTTGCATGCCTACATTCCTAACTTGGTTTTTCTTTGGGCATTTCTATTAACTTCCCATTTTGGAGGATGAAAATTTGGGGCAGTCATTACCACAAAAATACTTCTCTTCTGCTTCCGGGAGGAGTAACAATAATTTATATTATTAGGACTATGTAAATGCTGCTTACAGGTGAGCTGTGTAGTTTGCAATGTTGTTTTTATTTTTTTCCCTTTACCTAAACAATCCTGTTTTCCCCTAGGGTTAAATATTGGGTTTTTAATTTTTTAAATTTTTAAAAAGATTTTATTTATTTATTTGACAGAGAGAGAGAGTGCACACAAGCAGGGGGAGTGGCAGGCAGAGGGAGAAGCAGGCTCCCGCTGAGCAGGGAGCCCGACTGGGGACTTGATCCCAGAACTCCGGGATCATGACCTGAGCCGAAGGCAGCCGCTCAACCGACTGAGCCACCCAGGTGCCCCAAATACTGGGTTTTTAAAAAACTAGCTTGGCTTTGTCTTTATACTTACAACCAATTGAATGCCCATAGCGTCTCCAGCGGTCTAATTCTCCACTTAAGACAAATAGGTGATCAAGTATCCCACCAATTTTGTCTTGTAGAGAAATCCTGCCTGGAGTCTTGGACTTGCTCCAGAACGGCCTGGGTGTGCTCTGTCTCTGGGGCAACCTGCTGTACTTGATTCCTGGGGCCGCTGTAACAAATGATCACAAACTGAGGGCTTAACACAATGGAGGTTTATTTTCCCCCAGTTCTGGAGGCCCAAGATCTGAAGTCAGTATCACTGGGCTGAAATCAAGCGTCAGCAGAGGTTCCAAGAGAGAATCCATTCCATGCTTTTTCCAGTTTCTGGTGGCTGCCGTATTCCCTGGTTTGTGGCCACACACTCCAACCCTTTCCTTCCCTGCTCCTTCCTTCCTCCTCCTTCACATTGTCTTTGGGAGCTTGTAGCACGTTCTGTTTATCCCCAGTAGCCTGCAGTTTTGCAATGATCTGTTCTGGGTGGGTGTATTTTTATCCGTTTTACTGGCATGCTGTGGCTTTAAAAAAAATGAGGATTAACTTTTCAGTCCCAGAAAATTTACTTAAACTGTTTCATTAATACTCTCTCTTCCTTCCCTCCCCTCCCGCCCTGCCTTGTCTGTTCTTTCATTCATTCTGGAACTCCTCCGATATTGAATGTGTTGATACACTACTGTCATTTTCTCTCTCCGGCCCCTTTTGCCCTTTTTCCATCTCTTTGTGTTTGTGCTCCCTCCAGTTTCAAACCTCCTCTTAAAATGAAGGCAGCATAGGCAGGGCTTGCAGAGCATGCACAGTCCTCCTAGGGGTTGGGGGTACCTGCCAGCCTGGCCCTGGCTCTTCATCTGCAGTTCCAGGGCTGGGGCGAGAGGTGCGCTGGAATCCAAGCCTGGGGTGATGAGCAGCAGGGCACTGGCTCAGAGCACCCTGAGGCCTCCCGGCAATGAAAAATTTGATTTCTAAGATTAAGAACTTCTACTTTGGCTGGTTTGCCCCCAAATTGTCACCTGTGAATTTACGCATCTTATATTCATGGAAACAGGAGCCCTGATTTTTTTTTTTTTTTTTTTTTGCTTACCATGCCTGTTGGTCTCCTGAGAAACTGTGAATGATATTTCTATGATGACTGATAAGTTCATGGTCCAGCTGAGACCTGTGCTACAGCTTGAACGTGCTAGCTCAATAATAACACATCTCAGTTTGCCAGAGACATTGACTGTTGTCCCAGCGTGATTATTAATAGCTTGCCCCTTGCTTTCAAAAGTGTGCTAGTTCAGATGGTTAATTATGGGATCGCCCTACTTACCCTTGAATGTGAGCCAGAACAGAGGCTTGTGGACACCCTGGGTGGGACCCGGATTTAGTCAGCTGCAAAAGGCTTCCTTGGAAGAAAGCAAACTTCAGAGTTTCAAGAGTTAGCACTTGTTAATTGCTTACCCAGTAGTTTTGGTAGTTGTGACCTATTTCAGTGATACTGTGACAATTAACTGTAAAGAGTAGTACAGAATATCACTTTACTACTTTGTGAATAATATAAGCTGGTCTAGGATTAGAAAGAGCAAAGGCTAATGTGATTTTTTAAATTTGACAGGCTCATAAGAAAATTACTCTCAGAAGCTGAATTAGAATGAATCAAAGTCTATATTCAATAACTACCTAATATTTAAATATTTAATTTTGTTAGGAAATGATTATTACAAAACCTTAACTAGTCACTGAAAGATCTGAAAGTGGTAACTGTATTGAAGTTTTATTCGTATAAAACTTGCAATAACCTGGAAATAGGCCACTGCATAAGAACAAATAGAATTATTGGAATGAGAAAGTGAAAAGTGCAATAGTTATACTGTAGCTTTAATCAAATTGGTATTTGTAGAAATTAACGGTCATAAAGGTGGACTTGGGTGTTTTTTTCTTTTCTCTCTCTTTTTTCTTTCCTGACTTACAATCCAGAAGACATTCTGTGTGCTGCTAGCATAAACAACAAAGGCAGAACTTGTTTATTGGTCTAAACTGCATGCTAAGTGGAAATTAAAAAGAATCCTGGTTTGCACAGCTGTGTGAAAGGCTGTCCAGGTAAGCTCTTTAAGGCATTTACCATGTCAACAAATACAAGAAATTTTCTTTTCAGTGAAGGCAAATCAGAAAAAAAGCAAGATCATTCTTATGTAAGCCTGATGGTTTACTACTTACCTGGAAATCCAGGAATTGTGGTAATCTTGGCCAACTCTCGTTGTCTTAAGGTAGGTCACTGTAGTTTCAAAACAGAATTAATGTTTGTTTACTTTAATGTTAAAAGTAAGTATCTTCGTGGTATGCCTTGTCTGGAATCTAAGTTGCAGGGAGGGGAACGGAAGAATGCTAAAAAACAACTTTAGGAATAAGTATTTCTCCTGAGTCTAAATTCAGCCCTTGGAGAAGTAGAATCTAGAAGAAAAGCTGGAGTGCAGTATATTCCTTTATCTATAAAAGAGAGTTCAAAGGCACCACCCCTCCGCATCCTGCCCTGCTTAAATAAAAATAGCAGGAAGGGTTTAGAGGAGTTCATGAGCTATTTATATGATACATAGTGCCTTCTCCTCCTACAAGGACATTCCAAAGATTATCACTTAAGCAGTAGGTGATTTTCAGGTCTGAGGGTTCTGGGCCCTTTTGAGCAGTTTTTACTTATCTATTTTAAAATTAACTTTACTGATGTCAAAAAAATGCATCCATTCTAAGTGTATACTCAATGAGTCTTGACCAATTAATAGACCTCTAAATCCACCATAAACAAGCTATGGAACATTTCCATCACCCCCCCAAAGTTCCTCTTATGTCCCTTTACAGTCAATCCACCTACATATACCCAGCCCAGGCAACCACTGTTGTGCTTTCTGTTAAATAGATTGCTTTGCCTATCCTACAATTTCATATAAATAAAATCATGCCAGTTCACACCCTCTTTTGTGTTTAGCTTCTTCAGTTTTTGAGATGTAAGTATCTTGTGGGTATCAGTAGTTTATTCCTTTTTATTGTTAGACCGTGTCCATTGCATGGATTTACCATAATTTGTTTATCCATTTACCAGGTGATGGACATTTCAGTTGTTGCAGTTTTGGCCAATATGAAAATAGCCGCTGTAAACACTTGTGGACAAGTTCTTTTGTGGACAAACGTTTTCTTTCTTTTGGATAAATATTGAGGAGCAGATTTGCAGGTCATGTGGTAGGTGGATATTGAATTTTATGAAAAATGGCCGCACTGTTTGCCAAAGTATTTGTACCATTTTACACTCCCACAGGCAATGTATGTAAATTCCAGTTGTTCAGCATCCTCACCAACACTTGATACTGACAGTCTTTGAAATTTTAACTGGTGTATTGGGTATAGTGTTATTTCAGTGTGGTTTAAATTTGCACTTACTTCAGGGGCACCTGGGTGGCTCAGTTGGTTAAGTGTCCGACTCTTGGTTTCAGCTCAGGTCATGATCTCAGGGTTGTGGGATCCAGCCTGGTGTTGGGCTCCCTGCTCAGTGGGGAGTCTGCTCAAGATTCTCTCTCTCCCTCCCTCTCTTCCCCTCCCCGCACACATGTACACATGCTTTCTTTCTCTCTCTCTCAAATAAATATATGAATAAATCTTTTAAAAAAATTTACACCTACTTCAAGACTAAATTTGAGCATTTTCTTCATGTTCATATCGGTCCTTTATATATTATCTTTTGTGTGAGCTGTTTAAATCTTTTACCTATTTTTATTGGGCTGTCTTCTTACTATTGAATTGTAAGAGTTCTTTATACATTCTAGATACAAGTACTTTGTCAGATACCTGTGTCAAGAATATTTTCTCCCATTCTGTGGCTTGCATTTTCACTTCCTTAATGAGGTTATTAGAAAAGCATAGGTTTTTAATTTGGAGACAGTCTTATTTATTCATTTGCTCTTTTATGATTAGTACTTTTTATGTCCTGTCTAAGAATTATTTGCATTACCCAAATATGCAAAGATTTTTCCTATGTACTCTCCTTGAAATTACATCGTTTTAGCTTTCACATTTGGGTCTGTGATCCAATTCAAGTTACATTTTTTGGTGTATGGTAGGAGTTATATGTTGAGGTTCATTTGTTTTCATATGGATAGTTGCTTGCTGTAGTACTGTTTATTGAAAAGCTCTCCTTTCTTCCATATATTACCTTGGCACCTTTGTTTAAAAAAATATGTGTCAGTCTATTATTTTTGGCCTCTGGAATCTCTATCAGGTTCTATTGCTATTTGTCTATCCTATGCCAATACTGCACTATTTTAATTACTAGAGCTCTATAGTAACACTTGAATCATCCAACTTCATCCTTACTTTTCAAAACTGTTTTGGTGATTCTTCCTTTGAATTATCATACAACTTTTAGAATCAGCTTGTCTACAAAAACAAAACAAAAAACCCAAAAAACAAAACTAACCAGCTAGGATTGGAATTGTGTTAAATCTATAAATCAATTTCAGAGAATTGATATCTTAACACTATTGAGTCATCTAATCCATAAACATGGTATATCTGTTCACTTAACATCATCCATAATATATGACAATAATGTTTAGTAGATTTCAGTGTTTCATACTTGTTCATATTTTGTTCATTTATTCTTTTTTTTTTTTT